CTGAGAGCTGAGGGAGGCGCAATCTATCGGGGCGGACCATCAGACAGCCAGGCCAACCGTTGATCGGTGCGCCTTTTTCTGCTAGGGCATAGTGAAATCAAGTCAAATCCGACTACTTGACGGTTGCACCATCGAGTCGGAAAACCATGATGTTCAGCTAGCCGAACGCCGTGTGACAGCAGATCGCCGCTCCGCTGTTCGTAGAGGAAGAGCCACAGGGCCGTAGCTCGCCGAGCCTGAGATACTGTCTTGTCGCGCCCCCAAGCCAAGCAAGGGCAGCTCCCTGTCCACTTTTGCCTTTATAAGCTCTGCGTAGTTACCGTTACTGCGCGACCCCGCACAGCAGATAAGATGACCGAGTCAAACTCCTCGTTGTGCTCACGAAAGTTACGTGACGCTAAAAACTAGCTCGTGGACACGAGACGAAATCAACTTGGAATGTATTATGGTCCACCCACGCAATGCGCAGCGAAAAAAACGCACGCAGTCCTGAGATCCAAGGGCAAAGATCCACCAAGCGCTTTGATAGTGTCGGAAACGACGTTATGGAGATCATGGCGATAGGAAAATCAAGACACCGTGGTCGCATCGCGGAGGCATTGCGCTCGGACGATGGGGGTGTCAACAGCGATGTCGTGCGTGTCTTATCAATGGCTCAGAAATTATGCTCGATCGATCCTCGCTGCTGCCAAAGGCTAGCAATAGCGAGGATCGATCAAGCTTGACCTGAAACACTACCAGGTTAATGCTGACAGAGATACTCATGCCACAAAACGTGTAAAGTGGATACGGGCTGTGCACGTTGATGTCGACAATCATTCATTTTAGTGAATTACGTAGGTAATTTTCTACTTGGCTTCTAGTAACATGTAAATCTATGAGTAACCGAGCTCCTGGACGTGGAAGCGGATAATGTCGTCCACGAGATTACTCTCCCTGTCGCTGGTGGTGCCGTCGAGGCCCGTTTCGATTAGAAGAGCAGAGAGATTGTCTAGTGTTTCATCCAGCGCCTCGAGGTGCTCGGGGCCATTCCGGTTAAACGATTCCGCTGGCAGCGGATTCGTTCCGGTGGACCACGCTCGCTTCAGACGGCACTGCGGAGCCGCAAGCTGCGATTCCGGACGCCACCCATCGGCCGTCGTGGGGCTCCGAGTGTCGAGCGTTGCTGTTTTAGCGGTTGGCGTATGCAGTGCGAAGACATCGGGGTGCTGGTTCTTCGTGTGGCGGTTGAGGTTGCCTGTGGTGGTGAAGGTCTTGCCACAGCCGGGCACCTCGCAAAGGTGCACGGGTCCACCGTAGTGGAATTTCATGTGCTTCTCAAGCTTTGCGTCGCTCGGGAAGGCGCAGATACAGCCCTCTACGGGACATCGAATGGGTTCGATGTAGCCGTGCAGGCGCTTGTGGCGAGCCAGGTTACCGGACGTTGTGAACCGCTTGGCGCAGGAGCGTACGGGGCAGACGTGCGGCCGCTCACCCGTGTGCGTCTTCATGTGCTCGTTGAGCGAGTACTTGCGGCTGAACTGACGGTGACAACTGGGCTCGGGACAGCGGTGGAACAGCAGGTCCTCGGGTGCGTCGACGGATTTGTCTGCCATCACTGATGTATGGTAATGAACAGCAATTCAAGGCTGCTGTTTTGCACCAGAAGGACAGACTGCAACTGGTAAAGTGAGCACTTGATACGGCGTGATTATGGCGCCTCGATTTGTAGATCCATGACCCAACGCTCCGAAAATCGAAGTCGAAGGCGCTGTCCATTAGCTACACGGCGAAGCAGAATTGTTGTCGTCTCGCAGGCTCTGTGGTGGCCATGGCTCGGCCGGTTTTACATCGCCGTACGTGCTGCTCCACATTACGACATTGTCGTGCTGCTCAGCAGTCAACAGAACTCGTGTTGAGTGGTAAAGAGTAGTGCTCACATCACCACTTCAACTCCCGGCCGTTTGACACTCGGCGCAGAGTGGCATTGTTCGTGTGCTGTTCGCGCCGGCTCTCGTGCGGACAGCTTTCGAACAGCGCAAAGATCGCTGGTGGACTCATCGGAAGTTCATGAAGCAGCCGTCGGACTTGCGCGCGCTCTTCCGTAGAGGGCGGACTGGTCGATCTTCGATGAGTGCGCTGTCGGCGGCAAACGTCCGCCGTCGCCCATCGTCGTGATAAGCTGCCTCCCCGAGACGTCGGACGGCTTCATTACTTGCATGT